AGAGCCTTCAAAAGCACACACAACCCACAATTCTTCTATTCGCTCCTACGAAGGGCTAACGCTCGAAACGTCAGCTTTTATAATCGCAACGGTGGCCAATTTACCATTTCAACTTTGTTGATATATTCAAACTATTAAAGACAATTAGGTACGTAAAAGAGAAATAACAATATACATTCAAACTGAGGGCCCACGAACCAGCAGAGAAACTAAGAACAGCGTATAAAGAGCATATGTTATTTTTCGTGTCACTGGAGTGTGGAAATGAGAATTCTTTGAAGTTCCCAGCTAGAATCGGAACCCATGCACACCTTTTGGATATTTTGCTCCTATATTCTGCCACTAAGCTCCAGAGATGATGAGCCAGGCCATTGATTGGTCGATATGCGACAACAAAGTTGGTGTTATTTTATCGAAAGGTCTGGCATACCGACTGAAACTCAATTGTTCGCCGTCCAAGTTAACTTAATGCACCAAGAAGTACAGCATTAGTTACGGTCACCAAGAAAAGAATAACATATTAATTTAAACTAATGCAAAAAACCTTTACAAATTAGATAGATAGATAGATAGATAGATAGATAGATAGTTTATTAGAATATCGAACATGGCAGTCCGTAGACTGAATTGCGTTACAGTTACTAAGAACTAGGAATAAATAAATTCCAAATACTAATTGAAATTATAATAAAACCATAAATGTGAAAAACTCAGTGCCACTTTTAAAACAAGGACCCCCTTAGTTTGTGATCAGTAAATTTTTTTTAAAAAACCAAAGAATCCATGAGAAACCTTTTTCACGGAATTTAGACCTACTCTTTATTCACTAGGGTCATGAATTTGTTTTTCATTAAGAACAGTCTTAAATGGGTATATGCCAATATTTTGTGTGACGGTTTAGGAAATATGTTTGTGTTTAAGAGACCAGCCAGGCGGATATGAATAGGTGCGCCTTTCTGGTTCAAAGGGTATCTTTCAGCCTACTCTGTTGCTCGCGTGAGGTTTCTCCTCGCTTTTCTGGTGTGATTACGGGCCGTTTTAGACGCTCGTCGACGCTGTGCTTGAAGGAGAGTCATAAGGTTTCCTCAAAATGATCACTGCTTGTGTAGTTATCGCTGAATATCTAATAAGAAAGACTCAAAAATTGCGATTCCAAAACGGTCCCGTTTTTAATTAGAACTCAGCAGGAGATCCACAGTTAGGGGAAATGTAAATATACTTAAAGGATCTAAAGTGTCGTTTTTTAAAAGAGATTTTAAAATCTAGCGCTCTTTAGAAGCACCTTGCCACGTAAGGATTATGTTTCATGTTCAGTCATAGCGACAATTTAAGCCCAAAGGGTAAATCAAATGCACATGTCTTGAACCTTGAATTGTTTCACTTGAATTATTAAGCACTAGAGCGATAAGATTATTAAGGTTAAATCGATAATTACCTTTATGTGTTTGGAGGCAAAGGGGAAGTGGCTTGCATGTAGCCTAGCACTAATTTGAGCCTCTTGGTAACTTTTTAACAAGAAACATGCAAGACGCGCACATGGAAAACAACGCTAGCTTAAGCAATAACGACAACTTTGAGCAGCAGGAAAAAGAGAAAACCTCCATGTAACTAAGAGAATTGGGGCACTCTCAACCAAATTTCTCTCCTGCAACATTTGAACCTGAAAGGGGCAAGCCTCTCTGAGGGAGTTGCTCCAATAGCTGAGTTTATTGCAAAGACTTTGACTTATCAGTCAACGGACGAAAATTGTGTCGTTACTCATGATCGGTTCTCAAAACTGATCGAAAAAGAAATGCATGGGACTCGTAAGAAGTATCAGTAGTTGGTTAGAGGATAAGAGTGGTAACTTTTTACCGGAAGTGTATATTATTGAGAGAATTGGATCAGTCTGCCCAAAATAAAGTAGCATTGTTTTTTTTTCGAAGCAGCACCGTTAATCATCATCGCTTAGCTTGTGAAGAGTTTCAGCAGCTACTCTGCTATCCACTTATAATTGTCGGGTTCTTTTCAGCTGGGCTTGACGCCAGAAATCTCCAGAATGGCTGGCTCAAACTCTCCTTGTTGTATCGTGTTTCTCCTAGTGACATTGGAAAAATTATAAAGATGAATTTCTGGCCAGCATGGGGCTCGATGCCGTCTATCAAACCCAAACAGCTCTGCATGCAACACTTTTACAGCTCCAAAAGAGGCCTACAAGCGCGGGTCAAAAGGTAGTACCAAAATACTCTGAAACTATTTCAAGGAAAAGGGTAAAAAAAGAAAACTTTATGAACTGGAACGAGAAGAGCTAAAAATATCACAGTGAAAAAAGGTTCTTCCTTGAAAGCTGACAATCTGTCATACTTAGCCAAGGTGATAATTGGAGAGTTATGTAAAACGAGCACGGAGCATTGTTATAGAGTTACCTTCCACGCAAAACAAATATCTCTGTTAAAACAGATCGTCTGTCGTCACAAACTGGAAATTTCTTAATCCAGACAAATATTTCCTGTGGTAAAAACGAAGAATTTGCCAGAGGGGGTACTGTGCCAATGGGTCAGAACATTGCGACTTTTAATCTCAGCTAAGCTCTTGAATGGGCTTGATAGGGCCCTATCAAAATTATCAAAAGCTACAGTGTAAAATGCCTTAAGCGGTGCTATACTCAGCGGAAACCCTCATTAAGAAGACAGTAGTTTAAATTCCCCCATTCGATTCAACATAATTACTGCAAATAACCCCTCTATTAGGAGAACAGGGTACATTAAGCGAGGTGATAGAAAAAGTACCACCTATATCAACTTCACTGAAAAGGTTTTGAAATACTTTAAATAACACAATGCTTTGAACATGGTGACGGTCAGGTACGATAACATGTTTCTTTTCATAAAGAGATTCAGGACAAGGACCATTGCTTTCAAATGAATTAAACGTAGGGGGGAAAAACCCAAGTTCAATTACAGCTTCGACGCAAGGAAAACAAACTGACTCCTTGTTTGACAAACGGAACAGGGACGAAATACAGAATCGGTTTTGAAGTCCATTGATAGGCGACGTTCATTCCTTTTCCTTCGACTATTGATGCTATTCGTTGAATATTTTTAGGATGATTAAAATATTTTGTTTACGATTCACATTGCACTTGGCATACTGTGGAGATCAATATTTACTAAAAAAATAATTTTAATGTTTTCAGCTGGCCGACACGGCGGAACACTTTGCAAGGGACTTGTACAGTTAGTTGTCTTTCGTTGTTTTGATTTTGTTCCTCGAGTCAGAGGTAGACCGTGGGGCCATTAATTGCCTCGACTGAATAAAATCTATAAGAAGTTCTAAGTGAGTATCTATGTTGGGCTCTTATCAAATTGATAAAAAAATCTCAGTTTTTATTCTAAGTCATCAATTTTTTTCGCGGGCTAAAATGAACCAGAAGTCCCCGGTAATGGAATCGTCAAATAATTTGGAAATTGTATTGTTTAAATTCCTCTGCAATAGTGGGTCAGAACTCAGTCCTTTGGTTCAATGCTTAGTGAGTTTGCTCATAAATTCTGAGAAGTCTCCAAATAGCGTCCATGGCAAAACAACTCGCTTCAGAGAAAATTTTAATGTATTTAACACAGAAACAAACGAGATCGTGTTTAAGCCGTAATCAGTCAACAGCTCCTAAAATAATTTGAGTAATTTTACCGCCTCGTAGAGTTATCTACAAACTGCAGCACACATAGTAGGCGGTTTTGTCGACAACTATCGCTATGATAGTTTGCCACAGGGGACATCAGTAACCTCAAGAACGTAAAGAACGAGAATGTTTGAAAAAAAAGCATCAAACATTTATCAGTTACATAAGAAATTTCTAATTCTGTTCTTTACAACAAAGTCCCGCAAGTATGACAAATGAACTTTTGAAAATGATCTCATGCAAAGTGAAGCTCAGTTTAGATTCGCGGGTATGATACAAAAGACACACTGAGAACTTGATTTATGAACACGTTTCCGTCTGGACCAAGCTATCATGTATAATTGCTTCAACACTGAGGCTATTATGCAAAACTAAAAGGCGACATATGCTACAAGGTTAACCGAAATTGCACGTAAATTCCTAATGTTTCCATCTCTTTGTATTTACACAATAAAGTAAGTAAGCTATCAGTCGCAAGAGATAACCTTCGACTTTTTTCACCGCCTTATCATTGCATGCAGCTATGGCCCCGGCGAACTGAACAACGAAAGGTTTTCATCACAAACGCTACGAACGGATAATAGCAGGGCTCCATCAACGGCCTGCAAATACGCTGTTCACAAGTCCTCGAGAAACTCTGAAGGTGAAAGAAAACAGGTTCCCAAACACGCAGCATACAGCAGTTCGTTTACAGCAAAAGCACTCTCGACTAGTTTGATGTAATCTCATTCTAAACTCGTTAACCACTCGTGACTCCTTCTGATAGGATAATCAAATATCAATTTAATGCCGCCCTTTCGTGGTGGATACAAAATTGTACTTCATCCGTCATTGTTTTGCCATTATGCATTGAATTTTGACGAGGAACTTGACAACTGATGATCGTAGAACAGTGGAAGAACTTCTTTCAGTCAGTACGCCTCGGCGAGGTACATACTGAATTCCTCTCTATCTAAATCATCGCTTAAAAGTTCAGTGAAATTTTCTAAAACTGTCCCTGAATTTTCTCTCATCCGTCCAGAATAATCCACTTCACCTTCTTCTTCATCATTTTCGACTGCTTGAGGCTGTGCAAATCTACAAGAACTTAAGCGTGTTCTTCTGACGATTTTTTGAGACTGTTGTTGTTCGCCTATGGCCAAAGTAGATCCAACGTTTCCTGCGGAATGTACTACAGTTTTGACAATCGATGAACGAGGCTCATTAAGATAATAATTCTCTGATGATTTTATCTTTCCGGACTGATATGCGCAAGGTGGAAACGTTACATCTTTCCTTGCGTTTTCAGGGTAAAACATCTGTTCAGAGCTTGTACCAGGTCGGCTCTCATTATAACTACAAGTGTTCCTATCTGATGTGAAGCATACGGGCCCTTTAAATTGTGGATTACGATAGTCAGGGGTTGAAGGACCGTTAAAATGAGGTCTGCCTTGGTCTTTTTCTAACCTTGTCGGAGGATAACTATGATAATCACGATGACTTCCAAACGATTCCCTGTACGTATTGTAGTTCCAATCTTCATATCCTGAGGGGTGGTATTGCACTGCATGGTCCATGTACGGAGTGGAAGCATAATGTCTCTCTTTAGGACTAAGATCTGGAGTAGAGGGCAGTCCAAATACCTGACTGTTCATTACAACGTTTGAAATGTTGCTGATGAAGCTCGGGTTCATGTAAGTGGAGTTTGTTCGCTGACCAGGCCGCCTGTCTTGCGATCGCCTCTTTGGCGTGTACCTGTAATTTGGATGCTCCTTCATGTGACGAATTCGTAGCCTTTCTGCCTTCTCGACAAACGGACGCTTTTCCTTCGTGGTTAGTTCATTCCAAGCTTTTCCCAGCAGCTTGCTGATCTCTGCATTGTGTAGTTTGGGGTTCTCCTCAGCAAACTTTCTTCTCATAATTTTTGCCCAAATCATGAACGAATTCATCGGCCTTTTAACGTGTGAGTCGTCATCGTCTTCTAGGTAACTGGATGGAAGCATCTGCTGCTGAACCATACCGGGCCAATTTGTTGTAAACTCACTATGCCACATTTTTGATAAACTTTCAACGTGTCGCTGCAGCTGCAAACACAAAGCTCTTAATTCAAGTGGGATGCTCTTGGTATAAAAGCCGACCATATAAAGGGCAGGGGTAAGGTTTCGTGGCGCGGTATTTGGTAGGGGGTAACTAAGGCACGAGCTCTGAAGAGGTCTTACTGTTTTCTTGACACTTTCCCATTATCTCACATAGAGAGAATTTAGCGTTCTCGTCTAACGGCGATGTTCCGTGTGTTTTTCTTCTCGACTGTGCAAACGCCTTCAACAAATCTTGCCTCGAGCTGGGGCTATTGAAAAACAATAAGTACAAACAATTGGGGATTTAGTTTATTTAACAATTATCGGGTGCTTAAAGATCTACCATGTGTTTCCTATTGGCGAAACATTTTTTCGCGTGACCCCGAACTCGGGAAAGGGGCTTGCATCTTTTTCCTGTTTGCCACCGTCAACAGGAAATGAAATTTCATCATTGGTAAACGATTGCCGCACCGATGTTTGTTTCGATCTTCTTCTTCTGGACAATTTCACTTATTTAATCTTTTCCCAAGTTGACAAGAGAATCTTGACCCTTTAGTGTCAAATTGGGTGAAAAGTGGAATTGTTACACAACCGTGCAAAACCTGAGCAAGCATTCGTTTACAAGTTTGCTAAATGACAATAGTCAGCTGGAATGCTGAATTTTGTCTAATCAGTATGAACTGAGCACGCGATGGTTATCTCCAAAGATATCTCAAAATTGATTCTTAATTGGCAGAAACATTGAAGATTTCATTTTGGGAAGAGTATAGAAGCTTCAACAAAGAATCAGGGATGCTGATTTTGGTCAAATATGTGGATAAAACTTTGATCGGTCAGTCGATACATGGTTATCGCGATCATAGCAAGATGTGTTCTGTTATCCACTTCACGCGTAATCTAATGCTTAGTATCTCTTATCTTGTCGTTTTTTGTTACACTCGGTTTCTTTTAACTAAAAACAAACATTATTAGGCAACTTATTAGGAACAGAAAATTTTATTGAAAAAGTTACATGCTTTGCGATAATTAAAACCTCATTTTGTCTGCTTTTAATTTTGCTGCCTATTTTTATAAAGAAAAAGGAAAAGTGATGCTATATTACGAAATGCTCACGAGTTTGGCGACGAAAGAATAGACGCCTTAAAAACCCAACGAACCAAACACCGGTTTTCCTTTTAGAATACTTTAAAATGTTTTTAGAATGTATCGTGCTGAAGTTATGAACATCTTGCTCTCACAGAATGGAGTGAATTCAAATCAGATGACATTGTGCTAAGCCTCAAAGTGACAGAATTGGCCTTCAGTGCAGACCAACGGGGAATAAGAAAATGTGAACATGCTGATGCGTTTCTTAAACGGGCAACTATTAAAAAAAAAAAAAAATCCTTGATAATAACTCGGTTTGGTATAAAAGAAGCATTGTAAATTCTAAATATCCTTAATTATCGGTAATAGACGGTCTGGTTTAGAGATTACTTGGGTCACATGTTCTCGCGCGTTGAAGTCTGTCATCGTGTCTTGGACCATCTGCTTGGATCTCAATTTATCATTTATCAGTGAAAATTCTTCGATAATGCTGAGAAGATTAGCCACAACTACAGGGAGAATGTAAGAGTCTTGCCTTTCTTTTTTTTTCATATTGTTTGTATGATCGGACCATGTTGACCACAGGGTCAGGGATAGGATGGACGTAAGGAATCTCAACCAGTTTTTGATAACTTTTCCTTCCATGTACACGAGAACTCGCTATATGTCTCTTGCGTAGGAATGATAAAACATAATGTTTCAAATAGTTTAAATTATTTTCCTCTGTCCAAGCAAAAAATTCACAAAATCACTCCCTGCGAAAAATCCAAAATATCAGAGTTGTGGACATGTATCAATCACGGCAAAGAGTATTCATAAATACAAGCAAGGCCTCGTACCTCATCCTCAAAAATTGAAGCAGAATGCGGGACCTGACGTCGCGTTTGCTCCCCTTCATTGATCTTCGCTTGTTCTGATAAATCAGGTCGCCACAGAAAGGAAAAAGATATGCATCACTGAAAAGAGTATCCATGAGCAAAAATAAGGCTTCATAACTCTTATCCTCAAATATTGAAGCAGAATGCGAGACCTGACGTCGTCCTTGCTCCCCTTCATTGATTCCCCTTCTTTGATCTTCTCCGCCCCTTCTGATAAATCAGGGCGCGACGGTATTTTAAGAGTGATTTTCAATTAGTAGTCGTAAGGTCAGATTTGCAAAACCAAAAAAAAATTATTTTGTAAGGAATCACATCGATTAGTTTTAACTTTCCATCTGATTGGTCGACAACGTGCGTGTGTTTTTAAACTGAGTACAAGGCGTGTACACTGCAAACCAGGACAAAGTCGAATTTCTTTCCACACCCGCTTGAAAACTCCTCAGCGCAACCACTAATTGACGAAACGTTTGGATGAAAAATAACATAGTTGACGTGGAAAATAATTCTTCACTATACTTTGAAATAAGAGTTAACATACGCTGCAGTTCGGTTAACTGCATTAATCCCCATGTTTTTATCTTCGCTGTTTACTGTGTTATCGGATTCCCCATTTTTATTAAACCGATAAAAATTCAGCGCTGATCGTGGGAAAGGTTAGAAGGTCCAAATAAACGTGCAAGACCTTCCAAAACCAGGGAACAGTTGCGACTTTTTCAGCCATGGTGAAAATAGGAAACAAATACTATGATTGAAGGACTTAAAGCCGGCAGGAAGAGACTATTTGCATTGTCTTAATGAGCGATCCAGCGTTTTTTCATTTAGGGCTAATAACTGATCAAGACCTTGTTTAGGGAAGCCATTGCACATGTGAAAGGGATTAGGAGTTACGATATCTTCAGGACAAACTTTATGTGGTTAGCTCAGAGGTGGTGACCCTTAAACAAATATTACTTGTGCAAACCAAGGTGTTCTTTGCTGAGGAATAAACTGATATCATCGTTTGACAATTATGACACTCCAGATGCTGGCTATTGTCGTGACGAGATTAGATTGTACAACACATTCGAATGAAGCCAAATAGAGGGGAACATTGGGATTTGCGGTGCTCAATTTCCCCCCCTTTTTTTGGGGAGGGGGGACATTTTGGTGATTGAAATCCCACATTGCTGTATTGCGATGTGCTTTATTTGTGCAGTTTTAAAAAGTTCTACAAAACGCACAAGTGTATGTGTAGCGCTATCAGAGGGTCTCAATGGCGAGATGGCTTTTACGGCTAACGGTTCACGGTATCATTTCACTGTTGTCAACAGAAATTTTTTTTTTTTCGATTAACTCTTTTTTAGGACTATCGGTTAAAATTTGTCAATCTTTTAGCCTTATGGCTAATTTTTGGGCCGATTTACGGCTATCGGTTAACCCGCCCCTCGTAGTACGGCTTAATGACGTGTTCATTGGAGCGCGTAAATCGTGAACGGGCCAGGGGCGTAGCTAGGATTTTTCAAAGGGGGGGGGGGTCACTGAGGCTACTCACCATTTACACCGCTGCTCTCCCGCGTGTATCAGCGGGCTCAGTCGTATTATCGCGGCATTAAGGCCCATATTAACTAAATACAAGAGTCGTTGAAGAAAATACTTTATAAAAAAACAAATTTTAAAAAAGTGGGCTTTTCAACAATGGCTTTTACGGTCAAGATATTGTCATGGCGTTTTCGCCACCTGAATATTGTAGGTTGTTTGCTCTAAAGAAGGCCTACCAAGGGGGGGGGGGTCACGGGCACCCCAGTACCCCCCTGGCTACGCCCTTGAATGGGTATACAACATCTGGCGGTGTTGGTGTTTCGTCAACATTTCTTGAAATGATGCCGTGTTTTTAGATAATTTTTGAAGCGTTATGGTCATCAGAGTACCCCTGACGGCGGCTAGCCCTTAGCTTAAGCAATGCTACGTCATACCATCATCGTCCCGATTACATGTACTGCCTGGTTCCCTAGTAGACCTAGTAGTTTCTATAAAGTGGGAACATACAATGCAGATGTGTTGTAATGATCATGATAATTATGGCTGATAACTAGGTCAATTGCTAAAGATTATTAGCTCCATGCGACATATGATTGCACCAAGTTGTGTGGGCGTTTATCATTAAAGAAACGTGGACAAGAAATACTCTGAGAATTATTTCTAAGTTAAAATTGAAAACAGGCATTTGAGCATTTTATGTTTCCCCCTTATTGGGCACTTCTTTAAAGGTCTGCTTGACTTTGACGGTCCAAGGCAGAGGTATTTGACAAGGAGAGTCCGAATTCGGACACTTGTGTTTTTAAAATCAGAAACTTTTGTCTAAAATTGGACACTAGTGTTTAAAATCGGTCACTAAATATTTGGATAATACCGATACTCGTTACACTTGTTATCGATACTAGACCCTAGTGTTCAAAATCGAACACTAGGGTCTAGTATCGCTAACGAGTGTTTCAAAAGACATCACAGACTATAGAGTTGGACAATGGTGTAAAAAATTTATTCACTAGTGCCTTAAAACAGTCACCGTGACCAGTGTCAAAAGTTGGACCCAAAGTAAAAGATCATAAAGACACAAACGTTCAAAAGCGGACACAATAATGTCCAAAAAGGACACTTCTAAAATCGACAAGTGTCTAAAATCGGACACTCGAGTCCCAAATCGCACATTAGTGTCCAAAATCGAACACTTGAGTCGAAAATCAAATACGATTGTGTCTAAACTCGGACACTAGTGTCTAAAAATGGACACTAGTGCATAAAAACAGAGAGCACCGTCTAAAATCCCTCATTAGTGTTCAAAATCGGACGCCAGTTTGGCTGGAATCTAAAATCGGACACGAGTGCCTACAGTCGGACACGAGTGCCTACAGTCGGACACTAACGTTTGAAATCGGACAGTATATAGTGAAAAGCGGACTCTAGTGTCTTTATTAGGACACTGCTGTCTAAAATTGGACTTAGAAGTATAAAATTGGACATTGGTGTGCAAAATCGGACATATAAGTGTACAATACAACATGAAATAAGAAAAAATTGGTTGTTTCCAAAAACGTTAAATTTTCGTGTTATCTGGACTAGTTTGTGTTTTTTTCCTTATTTAGCAGCCATACTTACTGTTATTAAGAAACAAGGAAACAAGATGACCATTCAAACGCACCGCGGTGTGGGGAAAGGTGGTGAATCACAGAGACTTACGTTATTCATCTACAGACACAATTTTTATTTCATTTCATTCTCTACATTTAGTACACTCCACACTATGCAGTGCTCAAAAGACGGAAAAAAAAGACGATGAAATTCACAGAAATGAGTGCAAAAACCGTTGCAGTCAAAGCTGTCAAGTTCATTGACAATTATAAACACACACAGAAAGAGGAAAAGTTGGAAACAAAGAGAAAACATGAATTGAGAAGGACAAAAAACAGTAACAAGAAAAAAATCAAGGAAAAATTAACCACGATAGGGAAGAACTCAATTAAACGAGTAATTTCTTTATCATTTTTTACGATATCATTGAGGTTAATGTTGCCAAGCATCGTATTTCCTCAAATAAGTGCTCGGGCGCCCATAGAAATAAGCCATTTTACAGTTGTGTATTTAGTTGCCAAGCCTTTGATTTGGAGTGAGGCTGAAGCTGACCTTGACGTGATAGAGACCTGTATCTAGTTAGCATGATAACAAAGTACATTTGAAAGGCAGCAAGGTTTGTATCATGACAAGGTCACCCCTAGCCTCACTCCTATTCAAAGGCTTGGCAACCAAGCAGACAACTGTGAGATGGACTATTTCGGCTAGACGGGGGGCACCTACTTGAAGAGGGGCGCTTAAACGAGGGGGGCGCTTATAAGTTTTCCCATGTTTCAACGAAATGTATCTTTATTTTGGCTAAATCTTAAAAAGAAAAGCAAAAACTACATCATTATCCACGCAGACGTTAAGCCAATCTTAATATCTTTCGTTTTCTTAAACCAAGGGAATAGACTTTATTTGCTTAAAAGACGCCAGGGACCAAGCGAAGACGAATGACGAAAATGCAATTGGAACTCACAAAGTGAACCATATGCATAGCGCGGACATTTTAAAACTTGTTGGTCACATTCTGATTGAGCTATCATTCCTTATTAACTGTTTTCTTCAAACGTATCCCAACAACTTTAAAATCGTAGAAATTACTGGATCTCGAAGGGTAAGGAATGGTTTAGTCGTTCTTGGGAAGTTTACAGCATTTACCGACAGCGCGGCAATTCGACAAAAATGAAAAGAACAGATTACGCACATAAAGGAACTCAAGCAAGCAAACGTAAGCACATGGAGATAGAATTGAGTGGTGAGTCAACGGAAAAAAAAAAGTTTTATCCAAGGATATACGGTAATTTAACATGATACAGGTCACGAAATTCAGCTCCAAGCTACAGTCAATATACCGTCCATGATAATTGTTTCATTCGGCCGCCGCGAAGCATGACCTCCTCAAGAGCTTGACGGGATCTGTCTGTGACATTAGGGCAGCCATCAAAGATAAGAATGTTTATTTTTGGACAGCACGTGAGTAACGCTTCAATGCTGTCATCTGAGATGTTCACTCAATGCGACAGTTGGACCTCCTGGGAAATTCCAAAATCACAAGAATTAATGAATTTTACGATTAAATTTCTTGGTATATTTTATTACCTTATGACAAGTTCACAGTTTGGAATTCTGACCTTAGTCCTAAGGAGATAGAGTAATAATCTTTACCTTTGTTATAGGGGCATTTTCATCTCAATCTGGATTTACATTATTATGAAGTCTTCAGCAGAGAAATAATCCGGTTTTGATTGAGTAATAAAAGAGGAAATCCAAAGTAATCACAAGCCAAAAAGAGCATAGGAAAAGGTCAAAAGTAGCTAACGAAAATTGAAGTGAAAAACGTAAACTTTTAGGAAAACAGGTGCCACCAGGTCGCATCTGATTGGTTAGTTTCCTTTACTAATCATGGTGTGCTGTGGAGCAAACCCAATGCAATCTAACTTGGGACTCTTAATGACTAATTGCTCTTTAGAAGCTATAGAGCTCTAAACCTTCTCCCCAACAGTTTTCAGCGATATAAATTTTTCATTTTGCTTTAATTTGTTATGTCCCAAAAAAAGGACCTCAGTAATACCCTGACTTAGCTCCTTTAAATGTTTTTAGTCTGAGACTTTTGTTTGTGGAAGGTAGTGTGGGGGATTTGAAGCTTTGACCTGCTGTAAAACAAAATATTTTAAATATACACTTTCTTTGAAGCATTTTTTAAACTTTAAAACTGCTTTTAAGAGTAAAAGCTACTATGCTCAGAACTTAAAAGTAATCACACTAAAGGAACTCATTGAATATGGTTAATTAGTATGATTTCAGAGCTGAGCAAAGAGTTTCCAGCAATCTGATTGGTCGAGTGGCTCCTTATATGATGCTATATAAACCCCTCTACGCAGTTTATATAAAATATTAAAATAAAATGTTAATAAATGTTACTAAAATGTTATGATT